TCCGTTTAATCCACAATTAAAGCAAGTAACATTGTTTTGTTCTCGAGATTTATTAAGCTCATGGAATTTCTGTGAAATTTCTTGGTTTTAATTGAGTATTATATTTGGAGGAGCTAGGAAAATAAAAAAAAATTGGGCGTCGAGCGATTATCAAATTTTTTCTTATTTGGCATGTCACCCACAGTGACAATAAGCATATAACATCACTATGGCGTGCAGATCTGACTACGTGAAATGATTTCATCCGTTAGTCCACCAACTACAACATCTATGAGACATCCATCTGGAATTTCGAATCCTAACGCTTTTAATTTGGAAAGTTTTGGAAACAGTAATCCCCTAGATTTTGACCGGGACTAGTTTCATAATTAGCAGCATCTCGGAGTAAGTTAAAAAATGGAATGGACTTACGGAATTGATTAATCATACTCTCCTTTATTTCACTCCAAGAAACATCACAGTTTGCCTGTTCGTCGTACCACTGCCTAGCATTCGCGCAAAGTCTGCTTGCTATCATATACGGATAATGAGATTGTCATCCCATTTATATCACTCTGCTGCTTTATTCACACATTACTCCCACTTTTCAATCACCATATTGTCCTTTCGTGGATTAAACAATATAATGAGTTGAATATCACTTGGCGAAGATGATGAAGACGTACTGCTATTACTCGAAGAACGTCGCATATTGGTACGCTGCTCTTTTTTTGATTTTTTCTTCCCCATATTATAAATAACACGTTCACAAACACTAAACATATTCAGTACATGCACAATATATATGCCTACGTCTAACGCTCTGTATATAATGAATCCCCGTTCTCGATTCCTTAATAACATTGTTAAACTAAGACGTGACAAAAGCCAAAACAAGAAAACTGCATAGCCAAGCATGTGAGCGCTGATAAGTCAATTGACATCACCGGTCATCGATTTTCGGGCGGACTGTTTTCTACATAAACAACTAAAAATATAACTTTTTTACCTCTTCAATGTTTTTCGTATCTTGATTAATTTTTGTAGAAACAAAATAAAATCCACTTAATTGCGCATCCCTGGACCACACAAGAAACGTGGAGAAAAATTATAATTTTTTTATAATTTTTATTAATAACATGTAACATTTAAATAACATAGAGTACAAATAACACTGCCAAATTACAACAAAATTGGGTTAAGGGTATTTAAGATATTTACGAAATAGCGCAATTTTTTTACAAAAGTTGAACACCCTGTATCTTGAAAACGAAGCATCTGCGGATCAATGTTCATATGAACTTTTTGTCTTAGACTCACTCTAATAATCGTCTGTTGAATTTATTGTACATAGGTACTTAATTAACACCCTGTATATGTTGCGGCTAAAGTGCAAACTTGGTTAGTTTGTAAACTAGTTGATGCTAGTTGACTAGTATACAAAGTAACTGAACCTTCGGCTATTTTGATATAAAACGCATATTCCACCATATTAGCTGATACCTATACTGTATAGACTAACCCACTTGTTTGGCTAATTTACTTGAAATAATCAAAGAAACTAAAATGGCGTTTTTTCTTTGGTTAGTTTATAAACTATTCGCAGGTTTATGTTATGACCAACAGATATCAGTTTTTGAAAAACTCGCGAACTTTCTATATTTTAAATAGATTTTTTTTTAAACTGAATATATAAACAAAATTGTAGAATCTGCATATCCCAAAAAAATTAAATATGCAAAGTTACAGGTACGCAAGAAATTATAAAATCAATGGTTTTCTCAATGAAAATATTTGACAAAATTGAATTTTAGGATTCCCTCTTTATGGAGCTGTAGCTGTTTGGAACATTTATGTTTGTTAAAGAAACCACTATTATTTTTTCACTTCCTATCCGTCCACCGGGTGAGCCACCAGTAACGCCTCAATCGTTAGGGACCAAATGACAAGTGTTATAGAAACATGTTTAAGTAGGTTGATTACGGCTACAATTTAAAAATATTTTGAAATACAAAGGGTGTCCAGGAAAAGCGTACCATATCAAAGTTATGTAATTTTAAACAGAACACCCTTTATTTTACTGCATTTTTGAAAGCACCATAAAAAATAGGTGAACTTTATTAAAGGTTCTGCCTACCTAGGACTTATTGTTTGTGAGATATTTCAATTTTAGTGAAAATACAGGCTTAGCGTAGAATATTAGCTATAAAAAAATTATTTTAAGGAAGCAGCTTTGGAGAGTGTATTTTAGATCCTTGAAGTTATAAATTATTATATTTGTCATTATGTATTGTCATGTGTATTGTACAGGTGTTCAAAAAACTGCTGAATACTTATCTCAACTTTAAACAGCAATAACTTAGTTATTTTAAAAGGGACACCCAGTATATTTTTACTTTGGAAGTTAGAAAATTTAAAACCCTTTCAAACTGTGTATAGGTTTCCTATACCTATCTCTAACGGTATTGAAGATATTTGTGCCGTTTTGTTTTTATCAAATTTTTTTGTAAGATGTATCCACGTGTCTTTATCCAGGTTTTTATTGAATTGGTTTGGGTTCTTCTTGCTGACCTCTCTTTAAATATAAGATGAAAAATGAGGATGCAATTAAATGGCGCACCTTCAAATTTTTCATATTCAGTAAGAAATTATTTAAATCGGAAAAGTAATAAATGGATAAATAAGAATGGCGTGTGTTAGTGGCCACCTAGGTATCCAGACCTCACCTCTTCGTTTCGAACTATATAAAAAATCTTGTACACAGTGTTTCACCTACTAGGTACTTGCGATGATATGAAGGATTAGAGATGCACTTGCCATAATCACCCCAGATAATCTAAGGAATGTGAGAATATCATTTGAAGATAGAATAAGATGCTGTATTCAAGAGAATGATTATCAATTCGATCAATTAAAATTTTTCTTTGTTTCTTCGAAAAGTAAAATTTCCTTTAATGTTCCTAATTAATTTAATTAAGTTACGTACAACAAACATATTTATATAAAATTAATAACATTTTATAATTATTCTCCTTGTAAAATAATATTTTTTTTATTAGAAAACGCTCTTGAATATTGTCATGATTGACGCTTTACCAATTCAATACCTCGATAAAAAAACGAAATGGCACAAACATCTCCAATACCGTCAGAGATAGGTATAGGGAACTTATACAGTTTGAAAGAGTTATTGCTGTTTAAAGTTAAGAAAAGTATCCAGCAGTTTTTTGAACACCCTGTATAATACTAAGTGACGACAAATATTATAATTTATAACTTCAAGGATCTAAAATACTATTTCCAAAGATGCTTCCTTAAAATTATTTTTTTTATTGTTAATATTAAATTTCTACGCTAAGCCTGCATTTTCACTAAAATTGAAATATCTCCCAAACGATAAGCCCTAGATATGCAGAACCTTTAATAAAGTTCACCTATTTTTTTAAGGTTCTTTCAAAAATGCAGTAAAATACAGGGTGTTCCATTTAAAAATATATAAATACTTTGATATGGTATGCTTTTCCTGAACACCCCATATATTTCAATATTTTTAAAATGTAGCCATAATTAACCTACACATACCCACCTAAACAGTTTTCTATAACATTTGCCGTTTGGTACCTAGCCACTGGTGACCCACCCTGTATATTAAAATTGTTTAATAGTGCAATCATTCAAAGAAGTATTTTGTATTTTTGTTGTTCTCTTATTACCTTTGACAAAGAGTACCACGTAAAAAACAGCTACTACAAAGGGATATTAATTAACTTTTAAAACAGAGTAAAAATAAATTCAACAGCAAATATTAGAATATGTTTTTAAAAAGAAATTTTTCTCCAAGCGTATAATAATACTTATATTATATAGTGCAACACCTCCTTTAGAAGCAGCCTATTGTTTAACTAGTACAAATATTTTTCATTTTTTAACTAGTAAAAAAATGTAACAGTGTGTAGGTAAGTATCCTAGCAACGAATTAAAGATTCAAGAAGCTTTGACGTTTCATTAAGTGTCAGTTGAAATTTGATGTCGCGTCGGGTCGTTTTTAAAATGTCTGAAGAAATGCAGTGCACACCACCAGAATTACTGGAAATTGCAAATACATCAGTGGCAACACTTATACCAACAAAGTCGAGAAAAATTTATGAAAATGCTTATGATAAATTCATAAATTGGGCAAAAGAAAATAATGCACATATTTATTCAGAAAATGTGATGATAGCATATTTTACAAGATTATCCAGAACACTGAAAAGTTCAACTTTATGGGCGCAATATTCAATGGTAAAATCTAAATTAAACATAATGTAAATATTGAGAAATATTCAAAATTAATTACATTTTTGAAACGANAACGTTAGCAAAATGTTTGCTTTTGTTCATAAAAAGTCATTTTTCTTGAAAACGGTTGACTTTAGAGCAATGAACCAAGAGAACTCTTATTGTGTAAAATTCATTGGCGCTTTAGAATTTGCTGTCAAAAGTCAATTTTTCCAGTGGCGTAAAATTTAGGGGGGGGGGGAAACCCTTACGATACCTTAAAATCTCCACCACTGGCACGTCCAATGAATTCGAGAAGGGTGCGAAAAAGTAGCTATTAATAGTGGTAATATGTGCACAAAAGCTCAGTCCTGTAGTTCAAACGATTCCTAAGATATTGGCAAAAAACTAAAAAAAAATTAAAGTTTTGACACCGTGCATCTCGAAAACGAAAGCCCGGAGAGAAAAATGGAAGAGGAAAAGAATGTTTCTTTTTTCAAGAGGAATTTACAGTTTTCCGTTGCGACACTTATTTAGGAACACCCTGTATACATAGTAAAAATATTTTAATACTATATCGGTACTACTATTAAATTATATTAGTAAAATAGTCAAAATTTTTAGAATGTATAATGTATTATTATTTAGAATGTATAATGTATATAGGTATTTAATTTTCTTCAGATAATTTTTGTTAGAATTTTTTAGGTAAATCTTGGTTAAAAACAATTCAAAATTCTATCACATTTTATGCTCTTTATTAAAAAATATTTACAATGCAAAAATACATGTTTCTCAAAACACTTACAAGAATTGTGTGTTTAGTTTTAGTTATGATTTTTTTTGTTAAATAACACATTTTTAATCAAAAATAAAATTTCTATTAATAGTGCTCGTAATTAATATAAATACTTCAATTTTAAGAGAACACAATCTGTTCTTATTTGCCTGTTATACTACGTATAAACTAACTTTCATGATATGTTTAATCGGAATTATCTTTATGTTCATTTTTCAAGTTCAAAGTGGATGACAATGTAGGAATTAGATTACTAATTTCCTTTGTAACTTTATTTTTTTGCATTATATGAGAAAATGCGTAATTATCTAAACTGAAATATAAATTATGCACGTCATCCATTGCTTTATAAACTTTATACATCAACTTCTTACTCATATGGTCTTTCAGAGGAATTAAATATGTGACAAGTTGAGAAGCAAAAAACCTTTGTTCCTCAGTTAATGGCCTCTCCTTCCAATTTCTCTTAGATACAGATAAAGCATCTTTTAGTAATGAAGGTGGAAAGTTTAAATATTTTACTAGACATTGTGAAATGTCTGCTGTAAATTTTGGGCATGTACGTGTTTCACTCTTTTCTAAGATTAAATCTACTATTTGTGTATCAAATGTATTTTGTACATATACATTGTAATTGTTATAAAGAATATTTATTAGTGAACTACCCCCATGCATTACTTTTGTAACATATTCCGATTCTAAAATATTCTTTATTTCTGGATAAAATTTCCTGTGCCTAAAACTCACTAAATCAAAAAGATAAATTTGTTTCCAGGTACACATTACAAGTAATCTTAATGTATCTATTGTACTTTCATCTGTCCCTAATGACACCACACCAACAGTTTCGGCTTCACTTAATTTTTCAACAGATTTAAAATATCTGTCATCGATTTGTTCCAAATATATAGCATCTTTGCACATCTGCTTTAAACGGTTATACTCTTCCTCAACTATTTGTATATTATTACTTTCTGTAACAATCACTTTATTCTTTTCATCTTCCTTTAATACTGCACTTTTGTGTTTATAAATTTTTATTATTTCATTTCTATAAAAGGAGTATACACCCTCGAGTTTATTTGTATTGTTATGTTGTCTAACATTAACTAAGTCTATACGATTTTTTCCACCATCACTGTAATCACCTTCAAATATTTCTTGTGTGTTTAATTCTATCATCAAATGATCACCAATTTGATATAACGAGTTATAAGAATCTTCCATAACTGATGCAAAATAATTGTTTTCCACCGACAAATCACCACAATAACTATATTTATGCTTTGTACATACCACCACAAAAATATTTAAAATAAACCCTAGTCCTAAATTTAGATTTCTCTGAATTCTCTGCTTGTTTAGTGTTTACTTTTACTCGCTCACAAAACACAAAACAACAAACTTTTACTATTTACTATTTACCATAGATAAGAGAGATAACTACTATTTAGTATTTATTTACTATTGTGAAATCCACAGATCAAGAATAGACATAGATATATAATTTATACCTATGTGGCTTGAAGCCAAAATAGTTCATTGGAGGGGTGAGGAAGTTGTGTTTACATTCCCTCATGGGCAGTGGCGTATCATTTTATAGGGGATGATTGCAACTAAAATAACAAGTTTGATAATTATAATTGTAAATTTTATTTTTCGCAGATAAACTAGTAATATGGGAAAATATGGTGCCATTAATAGGTATGTTAAGAAAGCCTGTTTTATTTCTTTTTTTTCAACCTATTTTATTACTTGACGATGATGAACTTCACAGTCCCCTACATTTACTTCTTCCTGGAATACGGTGGAGATGATCTACTGACACAATTTTACTCTCATTTATTGTCAGAAATGCTGATTCTTGCATATCCCGATCTCGCCGCCGCGCTGGCCGGGCCAACTAATATAAACAAATAGGAGACCATGACCTAGACCACCACCGAGAGGAGAAACAAGGAACACTCTGACTGCAGATTTAACTACGAACAGTCGCATAATTGTCGGGTTATTAAAACTGTAATATTAAGTGAATATAAAATTATTGGAATTCCGGATTTTATTTTAATATTTCTTACATCAGAAGTGGGATTTACCTGTGCGCTTTGTTGACAATATTTATATTTAAAAATATATAAAAGTTATTAGTGCAATGTCTGACGAGGCTGAGAGTGCTTGGAGCCAAAGTGGGGCCTTGACTCATCACCGGCGTCGAGGTGATGGGAGTCCTAGTATTGAGGGCGGTGACTCTAGGAGAAAACATCACTCACGAAGGGATGGTGGTTCTCACCACGGACTAAGGCGACATTCTCGGGGTGAGGCTGAAAGTGAAGAAAAGAGGAAGGGTCGCTCACGTAGGAATGATGGTTTACACCATGGACGAAGGCAACATTCTCGAGGTAGCCCTAGACGTAGGTCTAGAACGAGAACTTCTTCTGTTCCGTCTGTCAGATCCTTGTCTGAGAGTTTTTCTCAAATAGGTGCAGCCATGGTAGCTGGATTAGACAGGTTGGTCGAAAAGAAAATCCCTGGTGTAAGTACCGTTTCTATTAATACTAATATTATCCCGATTTTTGATCCATTACTTCACGATGTTGATCAATGGGTAAATAGCGTAAATGAGTTTGCATTAATTCACGGGTGGGACGATAAAACAACCTCTCACTTGGCCTTATCTAAATTACGAGGAACCGCCGAAATGTGGTTCAACGGTCTTCCGACACGACTATTTACGTGGACTGAATGGTGTCAAATGTTGCAAGAAAAATTTAAATGTAGGCGGGATTTGCATAAATTATTTCAAGATATAATATTCTGTAAACCGCAAATAAATGAGCCGTTATATGAATATGTATTCCGTAAAATGGCGCTAATACATAAATTAAAACTTCCAATAAGTGATGAAGACCGTGTAAACTTGATAATGGGAGGTATTGATGATGTGCAAATCAAATTTACTGTCGAAGCCGCTAACATTAAAGACCCGCATATTTTAGCAAATCATTTTAGGCTTCTTGATTCAACAAGAAATATTCCTGTCAAATCTGACAAGGTTAATACCGGGCCGTTCCCAGAACGCGTCAGTCAACCCTCAGGTAGCGGCCGTAATCGGGCGTCATTATGTTACCAGTGCTTTACCGTAGGCCACTTGCGTCGGGATTGTCCAAACAATCGAATGTCGCTGCCTCGGAAAGGTCGAAGGGGTCAGCTTGCGTTGGAATACAAACGTGTTAATTTTCTGGGAAATGACAACTGCTCTAATCAAAAATATTTTAAAAATATTCTGGTTGAAAAGAGTAAAGTCAGGTGCTTCATTGATTTTGGTAGTCAATGCTCTCTTATAACTGAAAATTTAGCCGCGTCCTTAGAGCTGCCACGTGCGCCATTGCCGACTCCTGTTATTTTGACTACGTTGGGTGACACGCATATAAGGCCCCAGGCCGTTGCTCGCGCTTGCGTTGAGATTGATGGTATCAACAAAATAATACACTTTTACATTGTGAAAAAAATGTGTCATGGATGTAGAAGTCCTTATAGGACAAAATTTTACTGAATTAAATGATATACAATTTTACAAAACGGGCAGTCTTTTGCAGTTTTCTTTAAGTTATGACAAACAAACTGTCAACTCGATAGCACAATCAGTCGTCAACATCGGAATTAGTGACGCTAATGTGATAGCGGCACTTTTGAAACTTCTTAATGATTACAGTTGTTGTATCGCCACAAATTTGTCTGCAGTGGGCTCGGCTAAAAATATAAACATGTCGATTCGTTTAACAACAACGGAGCCTGTAACGACTCGACCTCGAAGATTTGCTGAGCCCGAACGTCAAGCGATAAGAGAGGTAGTGACTGATTTATTGAAAAGCGGAGTTATTCAAGAATCTACGTCCCCTTATGCAAGCTCCGTTTTGTTAGTCAATAAGAAGGATGGGGAAAAACGGCTATGTGTTGATTATCGGGCGCTAAATAAGATAACTGTCAAAGATTCGTACCCTCTGCCATTAATTGAAGATCAGTTAAACAGATTAGCGGGAAACAAATATTTTATTAGTTTAGATTTATTTGCGGGGTACCATCAGATCCCAATGTCACCCGAATCGATTCCCTATACGGCCTTTATCACACAAGACGGCCTATATGAGTATTTGCGAATGCCCTTTGGGCTTTGCACAGCACCTAGCGTGTTTCAGAGAGCCATAAATGGTGTATTGGGGCAGTTAAGATTTAACAAAGTTTTGTGTTATTTAGATGATCTGCTGATTCCGGCAAAAACAATAGAGCAGGCTTTGACTATACTTCGGGAAGTACTTGATTTATTAAAGGCTCATGGTTTTACGCTTAAATTAACGAAATGTTATTTTTTAAAATCTGAAATTGAATATCTAGGATATGTAATTTCAGAATCTAATATTCGACCATCCGATAATAAATTAAAAGCGGTAAATCAGTTCCCGATTCCTCAAAATATACACCATGTAAGGCAATTTCTTGGTCTTACGGGATATTTCCGTAAGTTTATCAAAAATTACGCTGCCGAATCCAGGCCGTTAACAAGACTTTTACACAAAGGGATGCCCTGGGCTTGGCAAAAAGAGCAGGCTGAGGCTTTTGAGTTTTTGAAGCGACAGTTGACAAATAAACCCGTCCTTGCATTGTTTGACCCGTTATTAGAAACACAGGTTTATACTGACGCGAGTGGTCTCGGAGTAGCAGGAATTTTGATTCAAATTAAAGACGGAAAACAACATGTTGTCGCGTATTATAGTCGGCACACAACAGCTAATGAACAAAAATTTCATTCTTTCGAACTTGAGACACTCGCAGTGGTGTCATCTGTGAAAAAATTCAGACCATATCTTTTAGGACGGCAGTTCACTATATTTACAGATTGCGCGGCCGTCAAACACACTTTCGAAAAAAAAGATTTAAATGCCAGAGTGGGGCGCTGGGTTTTAGAACTGAGTCAATTTAATTACGATATTAAACATAAAAATGGTCATCAAATGCAGCATGCGGATGCCCTGAGTCGCAATCCCTGTAGTATACCATGTGAATTAAAAACGATAGCCCTAATAGCCGAAGAAGATTGGCTACTAGCCGCTCAACAAGCAGACAAAGAAATTCGAAATGTGAAAACAGTTTTACAATCAGGTAATCGGCACGACCACAGAGACATTTTTCATGACTACGCTCTTAAGGGTGGAAAAGTATATCGCAACACTTTGTATGGGTTCCGCTGGTGGGTACCAAAGCGTGGCAAATATCAAATCCTTCGTATGGTTCACGACGATGTAGGCCATTTTGGTATCGAAAAGACTTTTGAACTAATTAGCAGTAAATACTGGTTCCCACGAATGAGGCGCTTTGTAATCAAGTATGTAAAAAATTGTTTAAATTGTTTATTTTTTAAGTCAAGTTCAGGTAAGCGTCCGGGGTTTTTACACCCCATACCCAAAATACCTAAACCATTCCATACCGTGCATATTGACCATTTGGGCCCATTCGTAAAAACAAAAGCTGGTAATGCATATCGTCGCCTCAGAACCAGACTAGTCTAAGTCCATTTGTTAAAACTTTACAGGAGGAGGTTTTCTAATTTTGAAAACTTCAGGACTGTATGCTCATTTCACTTTTTGTCTAACTGTATGTTTTTTTTTTACTTATTTTGACAGTTTACTGTTGGATAGTAAACAGCTTAATTGTTAATTTTTTTGACAATATGAAAAATTGTAAAATTAAAAAATGTAATTGGGACATAGAATAAATTGAACTTTATATAATAAACGAAGTAGATGCTTACCTTATTCTATGTCCAGAACTCTTTCATATTTTGAAAAATAAGCAACAATACCATGTCTACTGAAATATACTTTAATTCTGAATAATGCTATAAGATACTACAATCAGAACATTGAAGAACTTTAACCGATATAAACAATAGAAAATAATAAATTAAATTAATTGAAAACAAACATGCATTCTAACCTATAGAACTTTTACAAACATAACTACTCATTTGGTGTTTCGCCGATTATCGAGGGCTGATATTCTGACACGGAGTCCTCAAAGGGGTCGGCAAGCGACTCTTCAGATTCACTCATATTATCCGCAATTTTTCACTGCTTCAATCGTAAAAAAATTGGTTCCAACACACTAGCACAAACAAGGTGACTGGTCGAACTGTTATGACCAAAATATTTGTTCTAGTTTATTCTATGTCCTCACGTGACGCTTATTCTGAAGGTTCTGATTGGGCGCTCGGACATAGACTAATACGGTTCGAACATTAACAAGGTTGAATGGACATAGAATAAAACAGGCACCTCTTATTTAACAAAACCAATTGACGTTTGAGAACATGGAATATACTGGCGGATAGCGTTAAGGACATGGAATAATTTGGCATAAAAATGTTATTTTCAGAAAA